TGATAATAATAATACATCAAAAAGTAATTTAATTTAATGTTTGTTTTATACATCACTGTTATTATAGGCTTGCTTGTTTCTCTACTATGCGAGCTTGGACATCAATGTGGGTGGGGAGGGGGGAAGTGATGATATCTGGGTGATTATATTTATTGATAAAGTAAACAATATCTTTATAAATAGTTCCTATCAATTAAACCCTCTATATTGTCTTTTGAAGCATCCAAATTAATATCATAATTTAATCTAATCAGAAATTTATATTTTTAGGCATCACTGTTATAAAAAAAAAAACCAGAAGAAAAATATGGAGTGTAAATAATAATTGTACTCAAAATGAATATATCTCACACTATATATTTTCTCATAATGCACAATGATACATTTTCTTTACAGACAAGTCAGGACAATCAGAACAACCAAGAAGGTCAAGGGCAGATGAAGGTGTGTTTATTTAATAGCAGATTATATTGACATTTTAAGTACATTTTAACAAAAACTAAATTATACATAGAGAAGTTATAGAGTAACATATTGCACACTGGAAAGTAGTTACGTTTAACGCGCTTCATAATACCGTTACTGTTACAAATGTACAGTAGATGACAGGTTTATAAATTAATTCCTATATCAAAATTGGCATTAGCATATCAATCAAATTAACATATTGCAACTACATGTTTAAATCATTAAAATTTTACAATATTTCATCATCAGTTGCATCATGAAAGTTAAGAGGAAGGAAGTGGACAGCGGGGCCTAAAACATCAGGTGTCTGTTAGCATATTTCTAATTAAAAGAAAATTGTGTCCCCAGTCAACTCTGGGAATTCTTAATATAGGTGATCCAACAAAATTTGCAATTCAAAAATACCCAGATCAGATCACAAGTGGGCTTCCTCTTCTCCCATATCCATCTCTGGACCTCTGACTAGGGCCAAGCATACCCTAGCCTACTATAGCACAAGGTTGCTCAGTTTGCTTAGATTTACAACAGGCTTGTATTAGGGCTAACATTTTCCTCCTAGCCTAGAACCCTGACTTATGCATGATGTTAATGTTCTTGGTGCTGCCATCAACACCCCCTTCCCTTGCTTTTTCTCTCACACCTCTGGCATTATCCACGTCCCCCCGCCCCCATTGCTAAATCCTAGGATACACAACCTACTCTTGCCTGAAGCTGCATTGGTCCAGTATTTGAATGTAAAAGGAACACCACTATGAGTTTAAGCTGTTGTGTATGGTTTTAAAAAAAATTAAAAATCAAAATAAATATTTATTATATTGACCCTAATGATGAGGGTAATGATGAAGCTTAGGCCAGTGTTAATGAGGAAGAAAGAACAAATAAATAATTAGAGCTACAGAATTATTTTTGCAATCATTATGAAAATGATAATACTAGGAATAGGTTCAGAGAGGGACAGTTAAAGGAGGGTCTACACCACCTCAGCCCCATCATGGTTGGGGGAAGACACAACATTTTATGGCACATGTAGTTGGCCTGGAATGGCAATCTTTGACTTAAATTTTTTATATATTTTGATATATAATTTGTTTTAATAAATATTTTTTTCTTCAACTTTTTAATTTTAAAAACAATAGAGACCTCAGGTAGGCTTTCCTCATACTCACCCCTTTCCCAATTGAATAATTTGTTTGTTTATTTATCTAGATAAAAATTCTGGATTTGTATCAGAAAATGGTATTGAAGTAATTGAACTAAATGATGTAAGGTAGAAGTGTAACAGGAACTTAATTAGATAAATAATAACTATTGGTTTATTTCCCATTGATTTATAATCAGGAGGTACTGGGGTGGGACAACTTGATTTCCTGCTCCACAACAAGTCATCCATTCATAGGAACCTTCATGAAGAAAGCCTACCTAAAATGGTTTAGATTGGCAAAGAGACCAGCTAACTCTGGCTTTGAATATTTGGAAGATTGAAACATTAATAGAGTATACAATGTACGCAGTGTTCCTTTAAAGTTTATATTAAGTATATGTTAGTAATAATAATGTAGGTTATATTATTATTATTATTTGTTTTGAACTATTTCAGATATAATTATCAAAGGTTCCCTGATGACAAGGCAGAAAGAAGTGTATCAGAATGTGAATAGAATGACACCAGCAATCTGGCATAAATTTCATGAATTAGATATTGCAGATGTTTTTACTGAACTCAGCTTACTGCAATCTAAAAAAGAAGACAAAGAAAAACAAGACAAGTCAACATGTACAAAAAAAGAAGGTAGACCCACATCATTACCAGAGGCATTAGAGGTTATTAAGTCAACAGATTCTTGTAAGGTATTAATAACAGGGAAGGGGGGAATGGGTAAGACTACCCTCCTTAAATATATTGCTCATCAGTGGGCTACTGATGATGAACATGTCTTTGCTGATAAATTACTGTTTCTGATAAATATCAGGGAAATTAAAGAAAGTAAACCATTCTTGGAGATAATTATGAATGAAATTGATTCAAAAGAAATAATTTATAGGAACAATTTGTCATGTGACTCATTTAACCCAGTTGAAAGGTTCTTGGTCAAACATGACAATGAAATAATATTTTTGTTAGATGGATATGATGAGTTAGAAAGAAATGCTAAAGACCCAATTGATCTATTTAAAAAAAGAGAATTGCGAAAAAGCATGGTAGTGATAACATCTCGACCTGACAACACAGCTGATTTGATTAAATACTGTGATGTACATATTGAAGTGAAGGGATTCAGTCAAAGTAACATAAAGAAGTATATTCAAAATTATTTTCATTCAATCAGTAAAATCAAAATTGGTAATTCTTTAATAAAAGAGTTTGGACTTGATTCAGAGTGTCCATTTTCTTGGGGTGGTAATCACAAAGAAGCATTTGCATTGTGCTCCTCTCCACTGTTATTGCTTCACATTTGTACCATATGGGAAGAAAAACGTGTTCTTCCCACATACTTGCCCGATCTTTTTAAGGAACTCATTTGTTGTATTTTAAATCAGTATCTAAACAGGGCTGGCATAAAATCGGTAATTGCCAATTTTGAGAGAATTCCAGATCAATACATGTCTGCCATTTTAATTTTAGGAGAGTGTATGTATATAGGACTAAAGGAAAATACACTGTCTATTGACAAATTTGTTTTGTCAAATATGGCAAAGGATAAAGAATTATTAAATTTAGCACTGGAACTTGGGTTTGTTTATAATGATACCCCTGCTAATCCAGGGAAAGTAAAGGAGATGTACACACCCCCACATAAATTAATGTCAGAGGCACTAGCAGGGCTGTACCTGTCTACAGAAATTCAGAAAGTGAGTTTAAAGGTTGAGTATGAGGAAATCAGATGTAATGCTTATTTAAATATGACGAGGATGTTTGCAATAGGATTTTTAGGTGCTGATGCTGATAAGTTGCTGAAACCATGGTTAATAATCAGGGCCTCAAATTATTGCTCAATAGTACAATGTTTAAAAAATGTAAAGAAAGAGCATGAAGATGATATTTTAGTGAAATTGGATAAGCACATGTCCAACGATATGAAAGCACATAGTGAGCAAATGTTGGAGTCATTTAGAAGTCTTATAAATGATGGCAGAGACATATCAAGTATGCATTTATTCAAACTCATGAAAAGATGTAGCATTGAATATGGTCCTTACAGGCTTGAAGCAGCAGCAGTATCTTTGATAAGTAGGTGCAGGGAAAGGCAGTGCCAACTTGTTGTACATACCTTAGTGTTATTACAAGTAATGAATCAGTATTTGACACCTGACCTTCTACTTAATTGTATTTCAGAATGGGAAAAAGAAGAAATCAATTTACTTTCAGCTGAGATGAAAAAAAATCATTTTATATATAATTTGACTTCCATTAGGTTTGGTTTTCAACTTAGTTCAGCATTCTTAATTCATTTCCTTAAATATGCAAGTAACTTAAAGATCTTGCGATTATGGAGTAACAATATCCAATATGCTAGTCACAAGTTGGTCACAGGTACTATACTCAATGCAGTTATTAATGATTTGGACAATGCCAATATAAAGTTAGAATTAGAAACACTTCATATTAGTGACAGTGATCTAAATGATATTGATGGAACATTACTGGGAAAATTATTTAAAATAGCTCCTAAATTAAAATGTCTAGAAGTATGGGAGTGTAGGCTATCAGGTTGTACTTTGGGGGCAATGATCACAGAATGCCAGAACAGTGAAGATACAGTATGCAATAGTCACAAGTTGGTCACAGGTGCTATACACAATGCAGTTATTAATGATTTGGACAATGCCAATATAAAGTTAGAATTAGAAACACTTGATATTCAAGGCAATGATCTAAATGATATTGATGGAACATTACTGGGAAAATTATTTAAAATAGCTCCTAAATTAAAATGTCTAAATGTAAGGGAGTGTAGGCTATCAGGTTGTACTTTGGGGGCAATGATCACAGAATGCCAGAACAGTGAAGATACAGTATGTAATAGTCACACATTGGTCACAGGTGCTATACACAATGCAGTTATTAATGATTTAGACAATGTCAATATAAAGTTAGAATTAAAAAAACTTGATATTAGTGGCAATGATCTAAATGATATTGATGGAACTTTACTGAGAAAATTATTTAAAATAGCTCCTAAATTAAAATATCTAAATTTAAGAAAGTGTAGGCTATCAGGTGGTACTTTGAGGGCAATGATCAGAGAATGCCAGAACAGTGAAGATACAGTAGACCATGTTTTGAAACACTACAGGCTTGTACTGAAGGACAAAGACCTTTCAGATAGTGATGGTACATCAGTTGCTGATTTAGTCAGGGTAGATTGTCATTATGAATTTGGTGATTATTATGATTATGATGATGATGATGATGATGATACAATTTTCATTCTGTGTGATTATTCTCTTACTTTTGATAACATAGAAAAGCTTGTTGAATCAGTAGGTGAAAATATAACATTGGATTGGGATAGTATAGATCTGAGTAGGATTAACCTGTCTTCAGTAAGTGGAATAACATTAGCTCGCCTATTTAAGATGTGCCCAGGGCTGAAGTATATTGACATGAATTACTGCAGTTTATCAGTCAGTATTGTTAATAAAATTAAAGAAGAATGTTGTAGGATGAATGTAGTATTAAACGACATCATGCTTAGTCTAAAGGGCAATGACCTTTCAGATATTGATGGTAAATCACTTGCAGAGTTTGTCAGGGTAATTTGTCAATTTGATTCGGATTATTATGATTATGTGAATGCCATTTTCAGATTGAGTGATTATTCTCTTACAGCTGATAACCTAGAACAGCTAGTAGAATCAGTAGGTGAAAATATAACATTGAATTGGCAAGTGATAGAATTGAGTAAGGTTAACCTATCTTCAATCAGTGGAAAAACATTAGCCTGCCTTATTAAGATCTCTCCAGACCTGATCCATATTGACATGAGTTACTGCAGTTTATCAGGCAGGATTGTTAATGAAATGATGGAAGAATGTTGTAGGATGAATGTAGTATTGAAAGACAACATGCTTAGTCTAAAGGGCAATGACCTTTCAGATATTGATGGTAAATCACTTGCA